ATAAAGTTGAATGTATACATTTTTAATCTGTTGTAACTTCATCATCTAAAAGTTATGTGCTTAACGAGATATCTGCTGATTATCTTATTTATTTATATTTTTAAATATCTTCTGTTTTTGACAGGATCTAGTACGTCGTGGGTTTGTTTTTAAATTGGAGTTCTTAAAAAATCAAGACTAAAGTATTAAATAAGTCCAACATGTTGATTACCAGTAGGTTTAATCATATACTGATAGATATATTTGTGTTATACAGAGGGTCCAAAATGCAATATTATTGTTTTGTACAGAGGGTTGTGACAAAGATAGTTGAGGTGGAACAGAAAGTATCACAACTACACTTTGATATCGTTAATTAATTTGTAGATTGTGTGATACCACTAACCACTCATGTTTCTGGGAAAGGTATAGAACAGTCCCTTGTAACACAAAAATATTCAAACACTTGTATTGTTCAGGTTGATGTTTTAAAATTTATAATAAAAGAAGGGGGGGTGTCCCTTATACTTAATTTCATATGAAAACAAAGGAATCTGAATCAAATTCAGGAAACAGTAAATGAATTATTTCTGTAAAATTTCATTATCAATAATGAATGTCTTGTTTTCTATTCACAAGTAATTGAGAGCGTAAGTGAAATGACATTGATAACTTTCCTCTGTTAGATCTTGTAGATAGTCTGAGTAGACAACTCTGAACATTGCTTATCAGATCTGTATTCAGCATGTTCATTAACCATAACTGATTTATAGAAATTGTTCCTAATAGATAGACTTCTTCTGTAATTTTGTAGCTTAGCATGTGACTGGAGTAATGGTGACCACCAAACGTTCATAACTTTATAATTAATTTGTTTTTAAATTCATACAGCTAAGTTGATTTAAATAACTTTTCCTCTATACTGTTACAGATCAAAACCAGTATTGAAAGTTAAACAAGATTTATTTAAACTGTTGAAATGTTTCTAAAATTAAAAAGATAATTTTCAATATAAAAAAAAAACAACAACAACAAAGCTTGAGTTGCGTGTTAAAATAAGACCTAGAAAAAACTGTATTTACATTACCTGTTGTATTGAGTTTATTTGCAAATCAATCTTAACACAAGTCATCAAGAAAGTAATTTCTTTTGTGGAACTCTTTAACTTGTTTACATATTTTGGTTATTGAAAACTGTTTGCAGAACATCTTTGAAATATCTACTGATACAATGAAATTAATTAACCTTTTTTGTATGTTATTTTCGATCGTCTATTATTACTTACAGAAGTGATATTTTAGTACAATATATTGTACAGTATTGATGATATTGTATAGTTGTTAAAAGTTTTTAAATTATTTCTAGCTCCATGGTAGGTGTGGAACACTCTCAAAGGGCAGCAGGATTCTTACTGAAGAAAGAATTAACCTATTTTGCAAAAGCTCTAGAAAGTCCTGAAAGGCCTTTCCTTGCTATTCTAGGCGGGTATGTCACATTTTATAATTGTTTTGTTTTTTTTCAATTATTGAGCAAGAAAATGTTACTGTTAAATTTTCTAGTTTACCTGAAAGACTTACTTTATGGAGCAGTGAACAAAAATAATTTATTACATTTAAAAAGGATTTCAGTACCAATTGGTGTATGGAGATTAAACACCCGAGGAAATTTTACAAATTAAACGAATATAAAACCGATCCACAATAATATACGTATCAAATAAATACAGATCAGACTTTCTGTTTACAAGCTGTAAACCAAAAAAGTGTCAATACGAACCTCGTCGGCTTTCTTAAATTTCCTTTTCCTAAACTATTTATCACTATGCACTAAGTTGCTTGTGGGTTTGTAACTGCTGGTTACAGGGTCACCAGTAACGAATAAATCACATAAGTAACAGTAACAAAGATACTGTCGATAGTGCTATTAATACAACTAATTACTGCTAGAACCACCTG